TATGACCGACCCTCTATACTGAATGTAAATTTTCAAAAGTTCGTTATTTGAACTGTTATACTAGAATTCACGAGAACTTGAATATTTGCTTGAATTAATTAAATCGGGAGTGTTATCTTATTTTACAGAACTATGACAGCGGAACCTGAAAGCAAGTCTGGTTTATAATTACAATGGGTGACAAATATTTTTCTCCGTGTGTGTTTAAGATTAAATCGAATATACTGATTCCGAATTCATATTCAGAATTCTTTTTAGACCGTTAGGATTTTTTTTATTATACGCACGATTGGAAGGAGATCATATCTTATATAATTAAGTGAAATCATAAAACAAAGACACATTTATTTGCTACCCAGATAAATGATGATGTACTCGACTAAATCAAGTCTATGCCGATTTCGACTCTGTAGTTGGAATTGTTCGAGCATGTCAGCCTTTTGAGACATGCATATAAAGTATTTTTGTTGCCCAGTTTTATTGATAAAACTTTATTAGGAAAAAAAGATATGTAAAATATGTTACGTGTCTGTTACTTTCGTTCCGGTAACATAAATCGCGATGAGTTTTGTTCAACCAGCTAGAACAGCTGTGATAAAGTGAGTAATTTTTTTACAGTAATAATCCCCCCTATACAATGCCTAAGAGCCGCTCGTGGTAGAGGGCTGTACAGTAGATGAGGACCTGTGGGGAGGATAACAGTTAACCCTAGAATTGAACAGATTAAGATTGTCTTGATCGTGAAAGCATCTTCTTAGCGGTTCGTCAGAAGATGTTTGAGTAGAACTTAAAATCCCATCAGTGGAATACGAAGATTTTTTTTTTTTTTTTTTTTTTTTTGCTAAATTGGTTTGTTTTGGTTTGTTTTACGGCATATCAACCCCAATGGGTTATTTGATGCTAACATGATTTTTATTGCTGGTAATATTTTTGGTTTGGTTTGTTTTGTTTTACGGCATATCAAACTCAATGGGTTATTTGATGCTAACATGATTTTTATTGCTGGTAATATTTTTAGTTTGGTTTGTTTTGTTTTACGGCATATCAAACTCAATGGGTTATTTGATGCTAACATGATTTTTATTGCTGGTAATATTTTTAGTTTGGTTTGTTTTGTTTTACGGCATATCAAACTCAATGGGTTATTTAATGCCAACATGATTTTTATTGCTGGTAATATTTTTTAAATTTATTGCTGGTATTAAAACCTATTTTAGACGTCTATAGTGTTTAAACCCCAGTTTAGGGGTAACTATTTGATCATAGCTGGGACCCTAACAGGTGCTACCACCCCGGATCAGGGTGGACCTGGGAACACCAGCAATCAAGAGGTGGTTTCACGATCCTCAAAACGTCCTGATCACAGGCCTTGCTGTCGGATGTAGTTTATCGTCTTACCCAGGACGGGGAATACAAACGGAATGACGTTCTTTCGCTACAATGTGCGTAGGATCTCAGCTCTTAGCCGTCACTCTTAGAACTGATGGATCTATGGAATGTAGTTCATCTGAACACTTTCCATGGAAATAGCGATAGAGTAGCATGAGGCTTACAACATTTCGTCTATGGGAAAAGGATTGTAACGTGAAAAGCAGTTCATTACCCACAAGGTCGCGTAGACGCTTTTGGAGTCTATCAAGACTAGAAAGTGAAGATTCGTCTGATCCTGCCCATATATGGAAGCAGTACTCCATTTTGGTAATCTGGTGCTTGTAAAAGTAGAGAATGTTTTATTCTTCCTACTGAAAAGATATATATCTAATCGGCAAATGTTAAAAGATGCCTATAGAGTTACAATCATGTTTGCTTCAAAAGTACCGAACATTCACATTAAGTAATTTTTAATTTTAATAATCATAAATAAAAGGCTTCTTGATAATTCAAATGTAAATATTTATCTGCGTTGCTTCTTTCAGTACTCAGTGATAATTAAAAGTATTTATTATACGTAAAGCGACAAAACAGCACATCACTTTCTTTCCCTATTAAAAGTACATTTTCTCTTACTGCTATAGTAGACGATTATGGTAGATGATTATGGATCTAGACAGCTTCATTTGCTTTAATATGTTAATTACGCTGACATCTTGGGAGAGATTGTGAAATACCTTCCCGTTGCCTTCTTAGAAAAGATTGTGGAGTAGATACACGCTGCCTTCTTGGGAAAGATTTTGGAGACAATAATAATTTACTGAGAAAAGTTCTACTATTTAGCCCATAGCTGGGGAGAAGTGATGGATTCATACCTTTCCCAAGGATATTTGAGCGGAAGGGAATATAATTAACTGATAATTCAGCTGGAATTGGAAATCTGTTCTCCGAATCCCAAAGGCGATTTTTTTTTTTGCGAAAGTGAACACAGCTGACTGATTCGAACTCGGCTCGCTAATTTCGCTTTCTAGACCGATAACCATTACCCACTCGCACATTAGATTAAATGGACTGACTGCGACAAAGAAAAAAAAAACGATAGTGAAATAAGAAAATTACATAAAGTTGATGATAATCACCCAAAGTTATCAAATTACTTTATGGGCATTATTGCCAGCACTTAATTTGAAAACATCCTGTTATATTTAATCATTTATTAGATTTTTTTATCGAGGTCACCCCATACAAGGCAGTAAAGCCACTAAGACACAGCGGGTTACTGGGTGTGGAAGCGTTAGAAACATAAACATTGCTAATGTGCAAGAACAACAGAAGAGTAATCATGAGAACAGTAGATAGCGATTGACATTGCATTTAAATTTTTGTAGATTGAAGTTGACTGGAAAGCATAGAGCCGGAAAAGAGTTCAACAAGCGAGAAATGCGACAAAAGAAAGTTTTAGCATAGAACTTACGACTACATCTAGCCAGCTAGACTGTAAATTGATGAGACCTAGACGCCAGTCGAGTACTGCGTTTAAATTTAAAAAATCTAGGCACCATACCGAAGAGCTCACCCGAACAATTACCATGAAAGAATTTATAGAAAAGACACAGGGAGGCAACAAGGAAATACTATGTTCACAAAACCAATACACGATAGATTATAACAATTATGGATAATCCGACAGGAGATCGATTATCCAGAATGCTATCGAAACCAACAGACATTGAACCTAAAACAACAATGAATTATGAAATAATGAAGTGAAAAAAGGAGCACAAACTGGTAATTTACACATGTATTTTAATCTTTCTTTATATAATAAGCTAAGTGTTTTTGTCTATATGTACTAACTTTTAATGAGCTAGAGTTATTTCCCTTGTAGCGGTGGGAAAATAACTAAAGCCGAGTCGCCAGATCAAGGCCAATAATATTGCTGATTCTTCTTTGGATTTTATCAAGGAGCTCAAGGTAAATAGCAGGAGCACCGGATCATATGTGGCAGCAATATTCTAAGCATGGCGAATGACAGACATATAGATATGTAGATTATGGAGAGAAAAAAATATATATATATATATATATATATATATATATATATATATATAGTAAATCAACTTTCTTAGCAGCTGACCTAGCAATGGATTCAATAAATATAAAAATCGATCGATCGATAGATAGATAGATAGATAGATAGATAGATAGATAGATAGATAGATATGATTGTTATGAAAACGTTTACATTAGATTATTTTTGACTATTCAATAAAATTTTCCATTCATTCCATTAGTTTTCATGACATTTTTCTCCCATTTGGAAAGCCTTTAATCTTTGAGTCTTTCATATTTATATGAGTTCAAGATGCATGAAACATAAATTACTCGACCAAAACCCACACTGATTAATTAGGACTTAAGACAGTGGTGGAAAATTATTCAATAGTCTCTGTTTTAAATGAATTCGCAGCAAACTTCAGTATATCAACTAAAATTATTTTCAATCATTTCAGGACAATTAATAAGGAGAAAAAGCTTGATAACTTCCACTTGAATAAGTCAAAAAGGATCAAGCGTGTGAAGGTCTGCATTATTTTCAGCGCTCTAAAATCCTGTTTTTTTATTCTTTGTATGATAATTTCTGATCATAAGAAACTAATAAGCATAAACGTATTTGCTCAATGCCTGGATACGCATCAAAAGCCAAAACATCAATCGAAACTGTGTTGTCATCGCTGAAATGTTATAGTAAGCATTTAGCTACAAAATGAATGCCCATATACATCAGCTTAAAATAGTGTATTGAAAACTTAAAGATTCGTTCAATTTTGCGAATAGAAAGTCTGTCATTTTGTTGTATGATTACTTCATCTTATGTTGCAAAAAATCATGTTAATCAAGTGGAATCATTTGATGAAAGAGACTTCATAGCTTCATTTTATCTATTCATCTGACCCTTTCGTTCTTTTGTTAATTAGCATTTTTCGAGCATCTCAAGATTTTCCATGAAAGCAAGAACTTCTCTAATTAAAATAAGAAAAAGAAAGAGATTTAATAAAAGAACAGAATACATGAAGGTTAAAAGAAAACAGAGTCATCATGGGGGTATTCTGATTGGAAATATTATCTTTTCAGTTTGTTTCAATAAATTGGCAATTTCACGTGAAGCGACCTAAGAGGAATGATAATAATGTTAGGTATTCCTAATTTGTAATTCATTTCATTTGTAAATATGAAGATAAATTGAGAATCTCAAAAAAAAAAACAAAAACATTAACGCTTTGTTTGATTCGTTCATGTTTAAATAAAATTGAGTTTGATTGGAGAACGACAAAAATATGTCAAAGCCCATATAAATATAATTTGATCTCAAAGCATTTCCCTATATCAGACACACACACACACACACACACGCGCGCGCGCGCGCACACACAAAGATGCATACACATATGAATATATGTTCAAACACGTTTCATTAAATGTGACTGTGATTGTTCAATTTTTATCACAATTTTTCAGACGGCGTATGATTGTCCGTACATTCAAATCGAAATTGTAAAGAAACTTTTTAAAGACCATAAAGTTTTGTTCAAGTACTAAGGGCCTTATCCAGTCATTATAAATAAGGATTAAAAAAGAAGGGTTGATAAAGAAGGATTGAGAAAGAGGGATTGATAAAGAAGGATTGAGAAAGAAGGAAGGATTGAGAAAGAAGGAAGGATTGAGAAAGAAGGATTGATAAAGATGGATTGAGAAAGAAGGAAGGATTGATTAAGAAGGATTGAAAAAGAAGGATTGAGAAAGAAGGAAGGATTGAGAAAGAAGGATTGATAAAGATGGATTGACGAAGAAGGATTGAGAAAGAAGGAAGGATTGATTAAGAAGGATTGAAAAAGAAGGATTGAGAAAGAAGGATTCAGAAAGCGGGATTGAAAAAGAAGCATTGATAAAGAAGGATTGAGAAAGAAGGAAGGATTGATAAAGAAGGATTGATAAAGAAAGATGGAAAAAGAAGGATTGAGAAAGAAGGAAGGATTGAGAAAGAATGATTGATAAAGATGGATTGACAAAGAAGGATTGAGAAAGAAGGAAGGATTGATTAAGAAGGATTGAAAAAGAAGGATTGATAAAGAAGGATTGAGAAAGAAGGAAGGATTGAGAAAGAAGGATTGATAAAGATGGATTGACGAAGAAGGATTGAGAAAGAAGGAAGGATTGATTAAGAAGGATTGAAAAAGAAGGATTGAGAAAGAAGGATTCAGAAAGCGGGATTGAAAAAGAAGCATTGATAAAGAAGGATTGAGAAAGAAGGAAGGATTGATAAAAAGGATGGAAAAAGAAGGATTGATAAAGAAGGATTGAGAAAGAAGGAAGGATTGATAAAGAAGGATTGATAAAGAAGGATTGAGAAAGAAGGAAGGATTGAGAAAGAAGGATTGATAAAGAAGGATTGAAAAAGAAGGATTGAGAAAGAAGGAAGGATTGAGAAAGAAGGATTGATAAAGATGGATTGACGAAGAAGGATTGAGAAAGAAGGAAGGATTGAGAAAGAAGGATTGATAAAGATGGATTGACGAAGAAGGATTGAGAAAGAAGGAAGGATTGATTAAGAAGGATTGAAAAAGAAGGATTGAGAAAGAAGGATTCAGAAAGCGGGATTGAAAAAGAAGCATTGATAAAGAAGGATTGAGAAAGAAGGAAGGATTGATAAAAAGGATGGAAAAAGAAGGATTGATAAAGAAGGATTGAGAAAGAAGGAAGGATTGATAAAAAGGATGGAAAAAGAAGGATTGATAAAGAAGGATTGAGAAAGAAGGAAGGATTGATAAAGAAGGATTGATAAAGAAAGATGGAAAAAGAAGGATTGAAAAAGGATTGAGAAAGATTGGTGTTAGAGGTAGATAACTGCCTGACATAACAGACTGATTAAGCTCCTTTGACATTTCAAGGGGATAGCAAACAATGATTAAAAATGATAACATAGTTGTTCTTTGCAATTGATTACTGATTCATTCACTATAGACAGTGATGTAATACCTTTGCTGATTTTTACCTCGTCTGTTGAACAGAAGGGGATGCAAGTTAAATACATAATATCAAGAGCGTTGTTCATTCTAACTGCAATTCTCTGCACGAAGCAAACAAATTTCCGCTTTAAGTGCAGCCAAAATAAAAAATAAACGATCACAATCGAGTGATTATAGTCTTTAATTTTCTTTACCAAGAAATAGAACAATGTTCGCAAGTTTCTGAACTGAATGACGCGGTAAAGTTTTGAGTGATCATTGATTTATTTATTTGACAAAACTCTGTTTGTGACGTTTCTCTCGAACGACGGGCGTTCCTTGGATAGAAGAAGTCGAGCAAGTCGAACGTAGTGATTTGGTCACCTTCCTCTAACCACATAGGATATTTATACCTTTAATGTGCCGCGGATTATACAATAGACAAACAGATTGAGCAATGTGGGCGGGTAGTGTAAAAGAGTTTCCTTAATTCGAAGTGAATGTAAAATAATAAAATAAAAATCTGTCTCGCTTTCGACAAGGAAACCTCAAAATTTCCAACCTAACAGTTCTGTGTTCACTCCGCTAAGTCGTACGCAACAGGCATACTGGTTGGTTGCAGTATGAGGCCTTTATCGAGAAATTCTGACGATTAAAATAGATTTCTTTCTTTTTAAGTTTTAAAACAAAGAGAAAGAAAGAACAAAAAATTGAACGAAAGAAAGAAAGAAAGAAAGAACAAGCGAAAGAAAGAAAGAACGAGCGAAAGAAAGAAAGAAAGATTGAACAAAAGAAATAAAGAAAGAACGAGTGAAAGAAAGAAAAAATAACGAAGGAAAGAAAGAAAAAGAGCGAAAGAAAGAAAGAATAATGAATAAATGAATTAAAGAACAATTGAATGAACAAAAGAAAAAAAAAAGAAAGAAACAACGATATTCGCTTGATTGTGGATTTAATATTTTTCACTGCCACTTGTAAGCGTAAAAGTAAAATACTTTGATTTCAAATGCAGATTTATATGGCAGGCTTACGCGGTCCCACTTGGCGCAACACATGCTTTCCTGTACTTATTTACACTTTGTGATAGTATGTTGTACTAAACTATGAAATATGAAGTATGAAATAGTTTCGTATTTCCCAATTCAAGACGCAAGTTCGTGTCCCAATTAAAATTTGGAATTTCCCATATGATTTTCTAGGCATTCTATTAAATTTGGTTTAACGTATTTATTCTACAATTCTTTTTCTTGTTTGACAATGTGTCATACTCAAAGCTTAAAATGCAGATGAGATCATGGCGGTTTCCATGACACATTAGATCATCGGGGTACTATGCCCTTTTATGTGATCTCTCAAAGCAATATGAATTACTAGGCCGTGTCGTTCTCCTCTCCAACATGCGACAGATTGTACTGGGTTACATGGTACCAACAGCAAGGAACGCTCCCTCTCTAGACCTATTATCAAACACCCTTAGCTAAAGGGCCCCAACTAATTTGTTATTTTACTCGTAGCTGGGGATTGGAGAGAAATAGACAAATGCCTTTCTCAATATCATTCGTGTAAAGCGAACATAGGCTTCCCCAGCTAGAAATCGAACGTGTTTCGCCGAGCTTGGTCCTTGTTATGCCTCTAGCTAGTGAACGAATTGGTGTGTCTAATGTGGTTATAGCATAAGCTCCTTTTGTTGTTAGTTGGGAAAATCCCGTTGTTTTTATTTTTGGTCTATTACTGATTACTTTATCATCTGAAATTTGGTTACGACCTATAATTTTTTTAAGGTTCTTAGGTCTATGATATGCTAAGTAATTTTTAGATCTGGTTTGAGATGTATTATTTCTCAGCGAATTTTGATTATCTGAGATAGTGGAGGGAGAATAGCGTTGAAAGTGGTTACTAGAGGGATGCGTCTGGATTTATTTTTCATTTTGTTATACGATAGACATACCACCCGTGGAGAAGGTGTTGCACTTACCAACATTTATAGTGTAAACGAGTACGACTCACCGGATGATCTAAATATCAAATGACGTATTTGACAGATGGCGCACTGTTAATCTGCCAGGTGAAAATGGCCTGTTTGACCGCTCTCCTACTACCAACGTAAACGAATACCCATGAAAAGAAAGTTACTTCTCTCCGTGTAACAGATAGGATTGGGTTACACAATGACAGAAGCAGAGGAAAATCCTTAATAATTTGAATTTAATCTGGCATAACTTCTCTAGCAAAACAATAGCTAACAACACGAGCTGATTAACTAGTGTTCTACGGTAGGCGCCTTCAAGTATTGCTGAATAATCTTAAGATATTTGACCTGTACCAGAAAGACGATGTTACAGTAAATAAGGAAGGAGTCGGTTGTCTGTTATTTAAATACTTTAGTGAGTTCAATTCGGGGAATTGAGTTTTGGTATGTTAAAAGAATTCTTTAAAAGATGGAACAAACGGTAATTCAAAGGTAAATATCTCCTCTAGTTACATTATTCGGACTATTGTCCTCATCTTCGTCGCCATATTTATTACAACGTGTCGGCGTTGTACGCTCCGGCCTTCTTCAGGTGTTTGGAATGTCGAACTAAACCCTTTATCGCTCACTGGGGTAGACTGTTCTAGTTCCACGTGCCTTAACCGGATATTGAACTCACTCTTTTTGGGTCCTGTCACTGGATCTAACCAACGCCTTTATCCACTGTGCCACGTGTCCTTGGGGACATCTGTGTATGAATTTCTAGGTATTATAAATCTAGTCTTCAGCAACATTTTTTACCAGTGCTCATACTGCAATTTTTGCTGTTATCATTGCATGTTTTTACCAGAGCTCATATTGCAATAGTCCGAATAATGTAAATAGTGTACATAATACCTCATCTCAGAAATTTAAACAGATACTGAAATAGCTTCTATATCTTATTTGGTGCTATAATTTATGGTCCAGAACAATCTCCTTCAAATCTTCTTCAAATGGTTCTCTAGAAAAGTCATGTTATAAAATCGTTGGCGTATAGGTGCAAATCACGACAGTCGGTTAGAATGCTTTACAGCAATGCTTCTTAAAATATGGGTCGCGACCCCATTTGGGATCACGAAGCAAAATGCTGAGGTGGCGAAAATTAAATTCAAACACTTGAATTTCAGTTTATATGTTACTTCCCAAACGCTCAATAATTATCGAGATACGCCTTCGATAATAAAACACGCGGGCGGCGCCGTTGCGACGAGTGTAGTAACAACGGATGTATTTTCAGTGAAGTTGGTTAATACTTGGGCTCGCGAATAATCTCGTCATGAAAAATGGGGTTATTAATGAAAAAAGTTTAAGAAGTGCTGTTTTACAGTATACGCTTTATGGCATTGATTTTTTAGGAGAAATGATTGAGTAATATAGGTTCGTCTTATTCTGAATTTTAACAGGGCGACTTCTTCCTTCATAGAAAGTCTGAGATCATGATGCCATTCTCCTAGAAAAGGTTAAATGCTGTAGTTTGTTGTTTGGATGTTAGTTCCATAACTCTCGACACTTGTCTATATTCTATAAGTTTATAGCTTCTTTGAAGTCTGTATAAGGGAATATAAAAATGTTCATTTTTAGGGATTAAAGAAGCTTTTCCATTTCTGCGATTGCTGATATGGTACCCAACAGAAGTCAAGTTTATTTTTCTTGCAGTTGAGATTGATCCTGTTTAGTAATTTAACTATTAAAGGATTGTTTGCATTTTTGTTTCTCGGTGATGTAAGTACGGATAATGAATTTGAAAATAAAAAACAAAAAAAAACTATGAAATTGTCTGGTTCATTGTCTGTTATGATGTCTGAAGCGAAGTCTATGATTATAGCCTCAGCACTAAAAATGGAGGATTTGTCAGATAGGCATTTTTTTGATTTTTTTCATGTGATCAAGAACGACTGAACCTCCGACTTTATCAATGTTTCTTGAGCCATCAGCATATATGTGCTTATAGTTTGGGTGCTCCTAAAAAATATTATCAATTTCTTCTAAAAAGGAAGATGAACTAATATTAGTTGTAGGGTATTTGGAAAAGTTTAGCGATACTGTTGGCTGTTTTGATAGCCAAGGTGTGCTTCCCAGAGTCTTCGATACTACGGTTAGGGTAGTCTTTATTCGTGATTCATTAATAATGTTTTCTATGTAAAGGCAGTTTTTTTTTTATTTTATTTTTTTTTTTTTTGTCTTTTGTTGAATAGATCTTTATATTGTAGTTGGGGAATTATTCATGAATTCAGGTTTATTCAGACAGGAATGTAGTTTGCTCTATTAATGTCGGGGTAATTTCTGCTGTTTTAGTGTCAGGGGCATTTCGTGGGTTTTGGCGTACATGTTTTACATCAGAGATGTTCTAAAAGCTCCCAAGACGAGCCGTGGTCTCTAGTGATGAATTGTATGAAACCCTTTCATTTTTACATAGATGAACAATTAGGAAAATCTGAAAGCCACTTTATCAGTAGCAACTGATTACCTTTTTCTTATTGAATCTGAAACATGTTTCAAGTTTATGTTTGCGTTGATGCTACTACAAATATGGAACAATTACGCTGGGAATTTCAAATTAATTTTTTTTAATGTGTTTTGGGTATATAATCTGTCCAATTTAATTTAGATTCATTTCCCTTGATGAAATTGGGTAGATTATATACCCAAAACACATATTAATATATATATCACTGGCACTTAAAACAAACCAATAAAACACCTACAGTAAAATGGAAATTAATAAGAAAAACTAGAATATGTAGGTCATTACATGACCCATGTCCTTTGAGCATACATGAAAAATTATATATTACTAAGTTTTTAAAAGAATAAAATTTACTGAATCAAAGAAATAAAATAGCTATTCTTTGCTGACATTGTCAAAAATTTTCTTTAAATAATATTTAAATATAATATAATAAAAAAAAATGGGAGCTGGTAATATACATACTTATATTTGATATGTAATAATAATTTTTTTTTAAATTATGAAGAAACTGAAGAAGCTGTTACATATGTTTACTATCCATTTTAGTGCAAGGGATATAAGCATTCTTTATCGCTCCAAGTTCCATATCTGTGATTTCAGATTCTTCTCGCATTAGATGTTTGGTCTTATTCGATGCCATAGGTCAGAAAGGCATAGACATGGATTACGCAGTATCAACTGAACAAAAACACTTCTGACACACTTATTATACATTGACACGGTTTGATGGAAACACAAACAAATAATAAATAAGAATGAAATGCGATCGTATTTTGGTCGGATTAAGATGGACAATTTACATCTGGAGCATAGACTGTTAGAAACACAAATAGTAAATGTAAATAAAACGTTTTGGTATGATTACAATGCTCGGATTCCAAGATGTCAGAATACAGGACTTTTACCAGATATTATAAAACAAACAAATTTATGCTCAAGGTCATCCGATTACAGTTTACACCAGCTCACTAAAAGGTTGAAATTGATCTGATGTTGTCTTCATGTACTTGGACTTCAAATTAAACAGAAACAAATCGTAAGGGACGTCGGAATGTGAACAGAATCGTAGAAATATTTATCACATTAATATAACAATACAAAAAATTGAATAAAATTTTGTTTTGTCTCTAGAACCAGTGTTGAACCAATAAGCGTGCTTGAACAAATCTTTTATATCAGGTGATGCAAAAATATAGTTAAGAGTAATTATATTAACCGTTTCTTGAAAAAGAAGCATATTGTCCACTATTTACATTATTCGGACTCATCTTTGTCGCCATATTTATTACAACGTTTCTGCCGTTGTACGCTCCGGCCTTCTTCAGGTGGTTGGAATGTCGAACTGAACCCTTTATTTCATTTACTGGCGTTGGTTAAATCCAGTGACAGGACCCAGTCAAGTGGGAGTTCAATACCCGGTTAAGGCAGTCGAGAACTTGGAGAGGGGAATTAACAGGAGATAACTGATAACTGACATCCATTAAACGTGACACGTGGAACTAGAAGAGTCTACCCCATTGACTGAGTATGTGAATAACGAGGAAGTTTTAACGAAAGGCCTCAGAAAGAGACAATTTCTGGAACAAATAATGAAGAAAGAAGGATTAGAGAATTTGACACTCACGGGACATATTGAAGGCAAGAGGAGTAGAAGGTATTCGTGAATAACATAAGTATCGGGCAGTTGTATATGGATGAGTCTTACAAATATATATTTGCCTGAGTATATAGTGGAATATATGGTAAGTGCACTCACCATTAAAAATAATATTTTCTATTATAATTAATTAGTAATTAATTCAATTAAAGCTGCGTTTTCCTTTATCCTATAATTAAGCTGATTCATTACTTGGCAAATAATTAGTTTCTTGATTAAAAACTATTTGTCGCCTTTTTATCTTTTGTTCACTCTTAAGGAAGTAATTAGTAAAATACATTTTCCTGCTCGATTTTTGTCAGTCTTTACAAATGACTGCAACTATATAAGATATAAACTTATAAAAGTCTCTAAGATGATTTATCTGAACTTTTGTTGCTATTTCCCATAGACGTCGCGAGGTCGTAAGCCTATCGCTACTGGTTTAGGGTCACATCACGTTGAAACACCGGTTCCCGTACGATCATTGAAGTTAAGCAACATCGATCCTGGTCAGTATATAGGTGGGTGACCGCTTGAGAATACCAGGTGTTGTAAGCTTGAGTGTGCGGTTGGTGTAATCATTAATGGCTCGGTAATTGGAGAGCCGAGTTCCAATTCCCGTTGGTTTTGTTATATTCCCTTACGTGCAAATACCCTTGAAAAAGGTATGAATACATTTCTTCTCCTTCCTTCTGTGGGTTAATTAGTAAAACTTGTATTACTAAAACCATTCTCCAAATGAAATCGCATACAAAATATTTACATTTCGGCATTAGACAACACATAGAGACTGATATGCTGCTAAACAAAAACAACCAACCCATTGCTACTCTATCGCTATTTCCAGGGCAAATGTTCAGATGCACCCCATTCCATCAATTCAGACATTTAATACTAGGACACGCCATGCTACCTTCAAGGAGTCGAATCATCCTTATTTCCTCTTTATTCCTAATGTAAAAAGAAAGTTTCACTCAGACAGCTTTTTTGCAAGAACTGCTACTTTATGGAACATACTCCCACGTCGATACTCTCATAAACACTACAGTTTTAACCTCTTAAAATCAAGGGTTAATCGCTATCTATCCTCCTTATCATTATAATTTTAATTTCCTGCCAAATCCTCTTTTATTTCTATCACTCTTCATTCATTATAATCATTTTAACATTAAATGAATGAGTTAATTTTAGTATTAAAAAATGTACACATTTATGAAGCTTGTTCAATGAAATGATCCTGCAATTTAAAGAAACCTGCCTAAGAAAATGGCGCCTTCGTCTTCTTTAAAGTACTCCTTTTAAATCCTCACACGCTTATCTTAGCATCTCTTCAACAAAACAATATGCAAAGTCTTATTTAGGCATCATTAACATCTGCTTCATAATGTTCTCCTTCATCATGTTTAATGTTTGAAATCAATTTTTTTAGTATAATTTTCGGAAAATTGTCTAGAATGACACAGGGAGCCAACGTTTCTAGCAGCAGACCTAGCAATGGATTCGTTATAATCTTTCCACTTCATGTCAGTAGAAAAGGTTAGCCCAAGAAGGTGCAATAAGTCACTCACCTGGAGATTAGCACCCGCCATGCTGATGGAAGGCAGAAAGGATTCTCTCAGGCAATTGATTAAAAGTAGTTTTTGTTTTGGAGCTGTTAAAATTAACATGTCATTCCTTGCCCCAGTTAAGAATAGGATGTAAGTCATTTTTAGATCAGCTCCCAAATTCATCTTATCGAACTGATAAGTCTTTCAAATATGATTGGGAAAAAAATCAGAAGTCATGGAGACCAAGTCTCTTGGAATTTATCAGACTGGCACGAATGATGCGATATTTTGATAAGACTAAAATGTATCAAACGTGAAGAATATTGAGTCAGGATATTGGCTGGATACTTAACTACTTGTAGAATATATCATTGTTGTTGCAATGAACAGTCTCTTTAAATTCAATATTATTAAAGCAATATTGCAAGAGAAAAATACTAAGTAACCTATAAGTAACCTATAAAAGTACTGAGTAACCTACCCCACCGCTGACGATAATCATAGGTGGGTGTTATTCGAAAGGCTCTTTCTCTTTTCCTTTTGACTTTTTTGGAGTGACAACACATGCTTCCTTTCATTCCAATAGACATGAAGCATGTAAATACTTTAGAAGCACAGACTGAAGATTGTATTGAACTGTTCAGAACTTCAACTTTGTGTCTTTCTTTATCCTTCTGTAACATGTTTTGTTAATACACTTATTAATTGTTGTTTACTTGAATTCTACTTCTTGTTTTTTTTTTTTTTTTTTTTTAACCGGACTCACTTGAGACCGTGAAATATTGTTTGCGAAACAAATGTACATGAAGGTATAAAATGAATGAAAGTATTAACTTTCCATTCCTGCAACAAACCCGACATACTTATGTTGATTGTACATGGTCAATACTATAGATTTAAAATGATATAATAGCATATGCTATAAATTAGTGGTTGATGTTGTCAAGTTGGGTCACTGGAGATGCTGTAATTTAATCTACTTTGAGATAAATTTTGAATTGACGTTGATAACATAGGACAATTATTTGAGTTATAATTTTAAATACTGGATTCTTAACGAAAGGCAAAAAATAAAAGTATTCTTTTCTTGTGTAAAAAGTATTTTTCTTTCCTTTATCGTACGATATATATATATATATATATATATATATATATATATATATATATATATATATATATATATATATATATATATATATATATATATAAAGGTGTTTCATTAAGACAGATTATACATAAGGGTGTTTTACCAGTGTTATTGGTGAAAATTTATTTATTTCTCTATTGGATCATGTTATTTAAGTCATGGCAATTATGTATGAAAAATAATATCGCCCAAATGTCTGCCAAATCTGAAAAAAAAAAAAAAAATCATTAGACGCTTAAACTTAATTCACATTTAAAATCGGTCCAAGTTATTGGAACACCCTTTATTTACACACACAAACATATATATATATATATATATATATATATATATATATATATATATATATATATATATTTGGTTGGATAGATGTGAGTTTTTGACCCTGGGTTTCACGCTTTAGCGATCGTCAGACAAACTGATTAATTTTTTTAAAAATTTGGGTTTATGTAGATTGCGTGTATTGGTGTTATTGAGGAAGTTGTTGGGGAAATTTCGTCGCTTATGTCATCGTACTAACGCACATGCAGATACATATACATACTTGGTCGTCCGTCGGGACTCATACATATAAACGGACATATGACACATGAAGTTTCGTCAGTATCCCCAGACGAGGCTATGTCAAAAGTCAGTCTCGTCTCGGGAAACTGCTACCCGACCCCGTTTTATACGAGGTCTACGGGGAATTTTGGGCCGAACCTACAGGCTTAGATACCCCACATTAAATTCGGCCTTGTGCCACATCCGACCGCATGGGGCAGTTGGCAGATATCCTGCAGTTGGAGATTCATTGTGGAATTCACTTGACTCACTTCTAGCAGTTGACTACTTCTTCTACGCGCCGCTGGCGAATTTTATATGTTTTGTTCGTGTCTTAAGTATTATCGTTCATTACCAACTTTCGTGCGATTATTCAGTAACCTTCCCTGGGTTACAAGATATATATATAGATAGGTGTATGTGTATTGATATTTGCACAAATTACACTAAGCTTTGATAAGTGACAAGTTAATCTACGCGCGGAAGTGGTGTTTGCTTGACTTATGTAAGAAATAAATGTCTTTTATTCGTATTGGAGATGCTATCTCTCAAAGGGCAATAGAATTTAAAAACAACATTGTTTTATTTCTTTATGGCCCTGAGTTACTAGTAATAGTAAGCTTAGATGATTTAAACTTTTTTTATAGTAAATCATAAGTATAAGTTATTTGTTGGGATCATTAAGTTATATGTATATGTTAGTATAACACCGATTGACTAATGCCTAATATGAGCATTGGAGGGAGAAAACTAAGATATTTTTCTTTCCAAGCACTCCCCTACCAACTGTATATGTTTAATGGTTTTTTCCTCTTATTTATAGTTAGGATGTATCTAGTTACGTTGAATAAGTTAATATTTTCATTTTTGTTTATATCAGAATGTTTGCGCCATTTTTATCTAAAATTCTTTAAAGTTAATTGTATTTGTTCTTTGCCGGTATGGTTAGGAAAACAATTTTTGCTTGTTGTTTGTTTTATGATGACAACTTCTTTATAAATTAATGTGAGCGAAAAAGAAATTAGTTTTGCTCAGTTAACCGTGTTTTTAATAACATCTATTTATTTTCTTTTATTGATCTATGGCAGATATGTATTTGTCACGGAAGAGCACGATTGACACGGTGATTACTGGGACGAGTAAAGGCAATAATATTGACAATATGACGATTCTGCTTATTGTTGTTATAACAAGGAGAGGAATTTCCGGAATATTCAGTGCACCTATGACTGAGTTGAATACTAGTGACGTCATCTTCTTGGCTCATTACCCAGGCAAGAGTTAATCTTCGTTGTTATAGCAACCATTAGCCCAAACGTAAAAGTAATGGGAAGTGTTGTTTTTTAATGGTTAATACGTCAGTGACAATAGAATTCATATAAAATTACCACATACACGTACATAATTACACATATAGACATGCACACATATATGAACGCACACACATACATACGCTCACATGCACTGGCATGAACCTATTCAGAGAAACACATACATACGAACATTTATGAGCAGGCACGTCTATTTAATAAATAATATGATGGATCAATGTCAGTAGCTTGATATAGTTATCAGATCTGAAATATTCATTGTATAATGTTCAATCTCCATGATTAATAGCGAAGCGTTGGATTAAGTGCATTGACAAAGAACGATTCATTTATTTTTCTCATCAGCGCTGATTGTTGTTGCTTTAGTTCATACAGGTTCATAAAGTAAACACATTTCTTTTTTCTTCCGAATTATTTGTAATTCTTGGAAACGACAAGAGACAGTTCAATGATTGCACGAAGAATTAAAAAAAGTGGATAAACTTAGACACATTTCTCAAATATTGAACAAATGATAACGCCGAGGACAGTTTCATCCACCAAACATACATAGCCCCCTCCACACAAACACACAGACTCACACAGACACACAGACACACAGACACACACATATATTATTATTATTATTATTATTATCATCATCATCATTCGATTTCTGCTATGGACACACTACCTACCAAGTCTGCGGAAAGACCTAAGGCAGGTCGTGGTGTGTTGTTATGGCCACATTTCATGTTAATTTTTTTTTTTTTTTTTTTTATCTCCGATGAAGTTGCTAGCGTTACATAGACAAAGTTCTCCTTAGTGTGTGTGCTGTACTTAATAAGACAATTTTCTGTATGTCTCTTAAGCTGGGGTTTCCAGGGATTCTTTCAATGTGTTGTTTTGTTCCATTTTTTTATAATTCCAAGTGCACCTATTACCACTGGTATTATTCTTGTTTTCAATTTCCACATTTTTCTATTTCAATTTCCAGGTCTTTGTATTT